GTAGTGTCAAATATTTCAAACAAAAAGTTGAACATTGAACTTAACTCAGAAATTTGAGTTTGCTATTTCTATACGGAACTGAAACTTCACGTCACACACTGTGTTTTGTCTACCTTCATTTTCTTTTTCTCTTTTTCTTGTTTCTCATTTTTCCAGAAAAGTAAGATGGTTTCAGTCGGCGCGGAAATGTCTTTGAGCGGAGTCGCGTGGGCGCGCGGATAAATATCGAGATTACTTATTTTTCTTGGTCGGGCGAGTCGACGGCTCGTAAATGCCGTCGTATTTTCGCCGTCGCGCGTTTCATTCCTCGCGGCGGCGATCACACGCGAGCCAGCTCCGGGACTTTTCTCGGAATAAGCTGGAAATTTGTGGCAGCCCTTTTCGCGGATCGTCAGAGCCGATTAAAAGCAACACGCGTGAGAGGGCCTTTGATTGCGTTCGATCCCCGAAGTGACGGGGATTTATTGGCGTTATCGGATTGTTTGATGAGCAGCCTTTGCCTTTTAACTTTGATCTCTCTTTGTGTTTTCGAACGGTGTAACCGGATGGTGGAAATATTTTTGTTTCAACTAACTGTTTGAAGGAACTGTTCCTGTTAGAAATCTTACCTATTGTTCCGTGTTGAATGCCTTGCGTGGATCAATCGAAAATTTGCTATTTAACTTTGATGTTAGATATATATGTACACGTCATTAAAAGTAATACACATATCTGTGAGTGTTATAGATACTTTGCAATATTTTTTATTTGAAAAAGAAACTGATGAACAATTACATAAATGTACATTCAAACTGATAAAAAGGATGTGCAGACATGCACAAGTATTCCAATATGATAAACCAAGCAAAAAAAAAAAAAAAAGGAAAAAAAAGGGAAACTATTCACTTTATTTTCATAAAATATTAACTAGGTGGATACAATGTTGTCTGACAGAGAGGTATCTCATTCCGAAACTTCTTTATCGCGACTTAAAAATTTGAAAGATTTTTCAAGACGATCTAACAGAGAATAAAACACGCTTTGATCATTCGTTGAGTTCAGCCATCCTATAGATGTCAGCTAAACCTGAAGGCAAGCAGTTACACAGTAAGCACGATCCTCTCTGTGATAGAACGTTTGTCTACCGTATCTGATATTCTCTGGAACGAGGGTGCTTTTCCAATTCGCAAAGCGGAGCCCACACGATCGTGGCTCCAGGAAACACGATTAAAAGATGATCGGCGGGCCACAGGGGCCGGGCACGTTCAGCAGCGTGGCGGTCCGGTAATTGGGAGACCCGGTGGCTGACACCGTTTTATTCGCGCTCGTTATTCCCTCCGCGACTTTCTAGCTGATGTTTGGCGCATCGAAACGAAACACAATGAGCCGACACGCGTGAAATTCCGGCTGGCGTCGCGCCGCGGACAACGTTTCGTTTCGACTTCGTTACAGTGGCTTAATGAGCGCGCCGTGCGCTCGTTAAGGGACTGAAATATGCGCTTGTAAACGCTTCTGAAAGAAGTCTGAATCGGACAAAAAAAAAAAAAAAAAAAAAAAACGGAGAAGAGAGATCGTTTTCGTCGACGGTTTCGCGGACGTTGAAATTTTGACAACTGGACGGTTTCGTCGCGTATTCCTTGAAACAGTGCTGATAATAAATACGCCTATATCGGCGACATTTGCAATTATGGAAAATCGCAATTTCCGAGAGAAGTTAGAATGGAGCGCGGAATATACTTGAATTTAAGATACTTATGTTGGTTCCCGCAATTATGGGAAATTACAATTTTAAAGAGAAGTCCAATATGAATTTGTATGATTTTACTTGCGTCGACAGTCATGGAAAATCGCAATTTTAAAGAGGGAATAAAATAGAGGTTCAGATTTCAGAATGAACTTATGATGTGATCATTTCGAGAGTTATTTCGTATCCTATGAAATTCCTAAATCAAAGTATCTCTATCAAGCTCAGATGACTGGCTCTGAATCGACTAATCGTAAAACGAGATTTCTTCGATCACAGCCAATTAAGCTAACGAAAGAAAAAAAAAACAGAAATGGAAAACATCTTAATTAATCGAAGAATCCTTTTAAAAGAATGCGTTGAATGAATTCTTTACACAATCTTTCCAACACGCTGACGTTGAAACCTGCTGGATCTGGATAAACTTTGAAAAAGTTTAAAGAATCCAGTTGAAAACCAGCATCGAAATAAACTCCTCTTTCCGAGGAGTTGTTTCGAAACCTATCCTCGAAAGTTGCTCGCCGTTCCAAATAAGATCCAACGGCCAGCGATATTTCAAAACCTCTTGAACCTGGAAATTCTTTTAGAAAGCGGCGAGACGCTCGGAGGGAACCGCTCGTGGCAGAAATGTCGTGGGCGTTCCTGGCTGCCGCGATTTCTCGTTTCACGCGTTCTCAGACGGAACACAAGACACCGGCGTTCTGTTCTACCGGTGAAGCACGCGAGCACGAATGCCGCGACAAAACGAGACGAGACGAGACGAGACGAGATGAGACGAGGCGCGAGGCGAGAAGCCTCAGAGGTTTGTATCGCGTCAGAGGATCGAGAATTTCTCGTGCAACGTCCCTGGAAAACAAAGGACCTCTTATTTTCCACTTATCGAGGCTCGACAGCGTCGCTCGATTCCACGAGCGTGCGATATTCTCACGTGTGCCCGGTTACGTGACCGTGGTTCATCGCGTCCGTGATCCCGACAGGTGTACACGCACGCCGTTCGAATCTTCATTATCGATACGATCGCCGATAGTTTATGGTATTTTAATGATAATCGGCCCCCGAGAGCCGAATCGTAATTCCAACGAGTACGTATCCACGCGGTCTCTAGCCGGGTGAATTATTCAACGGATATGCCTCGAGCGACTTTATGTCGGGTGTTAATAATGACCTTTCGTCATCGAACGCATCCGAATTTTCGGCCGCTAGAAGAATCTGGCGATCCAATTATTTGGATCTCCTTTAATTACGGATTTTCTAAACGAACGCGACGTGCTCCTAGATTTAGAAACCTTCCACCGGGTTTTATCGACTGTGATTAGTGGGACGAAATTCCCGAACTTGCAATCTATTGTTATGATATGAAATGAGATTTAATATGCAATGGAATATAAAATGGGATGGAATTCAGTATTGAGAAAGAGTGATGCTGGATTATTGCACGGTCGCAAAATACCAAAGTAGCCAAATTGGATATATAAAAATTCCTTCCCTCGCATTATTATTTTTTCCCATGAAACTTCAAATTATTTACAAAATTGTAAAATCTATTGTACGTAAAAGACCTATTTTCATTATTTCTTTTTTTTTTTTTAATCAATTACAGGCCTCAACTCACCGAGGATTAAGCAATAATCCATCATAACATTATAGATACTTTAATTCACTTGTATTTCACAAATTCTAAGATCTACGTGGAAGATCAAGGTGCTGGAAAAATATTAATCGCATCCTTGGAATTCGCTAATATTAGATAGTACAATTTAACAATAGGATCTTCAGCCTCGGGCATTTCGATCTATCAGACAGCAGCAAAGCGAAAAGACTTGTTGACTTCATTGGAAAAACTGTGTCTGTTGACAGGTGATCAAAGGGAACACGAACACCTACCTGGAGTCGAAGCACGAGTTAGAGCCGCCGATGTGGGCGAGTAAAGTTCGCTTCTGGCCGTACAGCTACCATCGCCGCACCGTTTGCATGCGGGTAGAGCTGTATGGCTGCCCGTGGAACGACGGGATCGTCTCGTACTCGATGCCGCAGGGTGACAAACGCGGCAACTGGGAGTTCTTCGACGCGACTTACGACGGTTACTGGGACGGCCAGCTTCTGCGAGGCTTGGGACAGCTGACGGACGGCAAGATCGGGCCGGATAACTTCAAGATGAGTTACTACGATTACGACAGAGGCCAGGGATGGGTCGGATGGAGAAACGACACCAGGTCCGGCCATCCCCTCGAGATCAAGTTCGAGTTCGACCACGTCAGGGAGTTCTCCGCCGTGCACATATTCTGCAACAATCAATTCACCAAGGACGTCCAGGTGAAAATTCTTTATAATTAACACGATGAATGATACTTTTTGGGAGAACGAGCGAGAAATTCATTGACTTATGTTAGTATTGATTTATCGAGAGATTATTTGATTGACTGATATTAACTTGATATTGAGAGATATATATGACAAACGTGGAACAATTCGGAAGCAATGATTGGCCAAGAATTTTATATCTATTATACATATTTCACAGAAGCAAAAAAATGTTTCAACAGTCACGATTCATTATACCGAATATTTGAACCATCTTTAACGCTTATTGTTGTATACAATGCTTACATCTATGTTCACGTAAATATCTTTTAAATATATAGCTATTTTTAAACTAGTTTTGAATTTTAGAGATTTCAAGATGTTTTATTACATAAAAGTTCATTTACGATAAGTGTTTGAGGTAGTTCCTACAGTTCTGTCACGATAATAGCACACCTCCGATATTTCTTTCTTTTATATATGACGTGTAATAAAATAGAACGAGGTGAAAACGATTATGGGCGAAGATATTAGTAAAGTTAGAGGTTGACCCAACGTCGCGTCGTGATTTCACTGGTAGAATAAAAAGGAAGAGACCAGAGGTAAATCGGGTAGGAGAAACCAAAGCCTTCCCCAACGTTTGCGGGTCGTGATCTTCGTATCCCCACGAACGAACCTTCGGGGAGATTTTTGGCTCGGAGAACGGTCACGTATTTACGTTCTGCAACATGTAGAGCGAAAGTCGAGCCAGCTTGATAGCACTTTCATCATACAACATCCCTCCATCTCTCTCTCGCTCACTTCGTCAAATAATGGCATTTGCTTACAATTTTTCCTTGAAAAATAAAATAAAAGAAAATGAACCGTTCCTTTCAATAGAACGAAACAAAGAAACTAAAAACAGAAAAGTGCAGAAGACAGAGAGGAAGGGACTGGAACTTCCTAATCTATCTGCTTTAAATTTTAATATTTTGATTCGCTCCCGTTATCAATACCATTGGCCCGACGATGGAGAGAAAGAGAGAGAGAGAGAGAGA